ATAATTATAAATAATATTTACTGTAATCACTTTATTTACTATAAATAAAATTTTGTTTATTACAACCATTATTATTGGGATATATAAAAAGTAATTTATTCAAGAACTCGTCTTAAACGTAATGCACGGAACCATTCAAATAAATGCTAGACTGACTAATATGCAGTATAACAGATTAAATTGCATAGATAGATTAAATTAAATAGAATTAAATGGAATAATAATACTCCATGCTTCTATAGAATTGAGCACATTCCACAGTGCTTTACCATCCACCTTTACCGTCAACAGTGCTTCCACAGTGCATAGATTTTAACTTTATTTTGTGTAAAGCAACAACGATATCTCAATAATTTTATAAAATATCTTTACAATAGTTATATTGTACATCATATAAAAGTCATTTTCCAATATTTTAAAAAGTTTTACGAATTAATTAACAACTTTATATTTAAATAAAACATTTTATTGTGCTCATTATTATTGGGACATTTAATATACTATTTTTAATATTTATTCATTTCATCAAAGTTAACTTATTGTAAAGTTATATTCTTATAATATTGTACATTATATACATAATAGTTATATATTTATATTTACTAAGAATTTTCAAGAATACAAATATAGGCACTCATGTATTGAATTCTAAGTTAATTTGGTTTTTAATTTTAACAATAGAATTAAAATTTCATAATTAATTACTAAATATGTGTCTAAATAATAGATTATTCATACAAACTAGATTATATAACTACAGTAGTACTAATTCAGAATAATACATAAGAATACTAAAATGTACACAATATATAATCATTTACTAATCGCAAGTTAGTACTAATGGTGAGTTTAAGTAATTGCATAAACAAATCTAACAATTAAGTGCTCAATGATAGTTAACATGGACATTATATAATAATTTATTATGATATTGTTTATAATCCTTATAATAATAAATTATACCAAAGAAATTATTTTCTTTTATAAATGTGATGTGCTTTGAAATTGTTTGTAATTTATAACAGTACTGTATATTGTTTTAAAATACAACATAAATAAATGTTGAACAAACTTATAAGACAATCGGCTAAACTAACTTATTGAATATTTCATTTAATTTGTAATCATAAACATAGAAAATAATAAAATTCTTCAATAATAAGCGGTTTCCTTATTATGTGGTTTCCTTTTCTTGCAATAGAATATTATTTTGCTTTTCAATATCTATTGGTTCGGGTATTTCAATGGTTGGCTGAAGTATTGGTGTGCCGTTTGGAAACAATTGTGAATAACTCGGTGGACTGTCTTCAATGGCAAAGTGATGATCAGATGATAGATTAACAAAAACCCTATTATTAGGAAGTGTGTAATCATGTGGTGAACGATAGGGCGCTTCACAACTATATTCACAATCAAATTCTCTGCTTCGAGAATATCTTAACAATGAAGGCATGGTTTGACTGTTGCTGTGATTGTGTCTAATATTTGTTATTATATTTTCATCATTTATGTGATAATTATGTTCTGAATCGTTGTTAAACCGCTTATAAAATTTAAAAATCTGTAATAAATTAAACCATATTAATTAATTCACACAAATCTCATTAGCTATACTTCACATTGAAATAATGTAAAAATTTTTACAGATTCTGTAATAATATTAAAAATAAACATTTAATAAAAATAAACTTATATTGTATTCTAACTTCTTTTTAAAAAAAATTATATTAATTAATTTACAAATTGTATTATATATTTGTATAAATAGAGAATATATTTTATACATATATCAAGAATAACTTAATATGGGATACCTTTTTCGATACTAAATTTCAATAATTTGGAGGAATAAGAAACATTTTAAAAACTATTAATTAAGTGCTAGATTCAAAAAGACTTTAATCAAAAAAGGAAAAATAATATTACCATACAATACAGTTTTAATAAAAGGACATACAGTCTTACACTAAATATGACTTAAAAATAAATCAACGGTAATATAATATTAGAAATAACGAGATAATGAATTGAAATGTGAATACATGTGTTAAGACCTTATGTACAATCACTGTGAAGAAGAAGAGAGCGAACGGGAATATGAAGGCCAAACAGAAGATGACAAATGTATAGATAGCGTATTCGTGAAGATTATTCTTCTGCATCATAAAACCACAGATCAAAAGGGATGTGATTGTTATGGGCAGTACTGTGGCCACAATGCACGTGATCACTGGATTGGAACAGTTCACTCGCCAACACTCTTCACGTGTTGGGTTTGAAGGCAACGAATTCACTATTATTCCTATCATATCATTATTATATCATTAAATCAAATCATCACTCAATCAAGCGATCAGTCAATACAAACCATTGCGACAAAAGTGTTGATTATTTGTGTTATGCATTCCCGTAGTTATGACCGACGATGAAATGTTTGCAATCATTTTAATTGCATTTATTCACAATTATCTGTTTGTTAGATATATTTATTATAAAAATTGCATTTTAATTCTGAAATTACCAAATAATTCAAGATTTTGACAATATTTTACAGAATATTTTATATTAAATATATATATTCCGTAGAATTCATATTATGTTTTATATAAAACATATTTAATTTAAATCAATCAAAACATTAACCAATGTTTAAATGAGAGTTTAATTAAGAAAAATTATTTGTAATTAGTTTATCAAATATACACAGAATTTGAATCACAATAATGTTAAATATTATTATTTATACTTCTAATGAGAGAACCAAATGGAAAGCACAACAAAACGGTATTTAAACAAATCCGAAGAACTCGTAGCGGAAAACATAGGAAAAAGATTATCGATTTTAATAACAAATTTCAAAACTTTAATAAATTATACTCAAAATACTGTATTTCATATTGAATGAAAACTTATAAATTAACTGTAAATACCAATTCTAAGTCAAAGATTAGATTTTATTTATAAAAATATTATAATGATTTTTGCCCATATAATCGTATAATTATTTTAACACACACTTTGCTTACATTCATATTACTGTTATGGCAAAAAGCGTTTAAAATAATCGTTTGAATGAAATAATAACTATATTTAAATGATAATCTGACGAATGATGACAATATTGGTAAAGCGGTGTACCAAGTTGGTAATCAACATCAAATCATTATACTATTACCGTTAAATAATTAACACAATTCTTCTATAGAATATCAATTTAATATCATTTTTAATTAGAAAATACTAATAAAGACTAATACATATTAAACGTGTTTAATATATTAATTGTATTAAACATTCAAAATAATGAAAAACTAAATTAAGCCATGAATTGAATCGACGGTAAGATAAGTCCAAAAGCGATGAATGTCTACCACAGGAGACTAAAAGGGGTCAAAGAAATGGGAATCAATTGATTAAATAATAGATGGATTGCTGGCAATGATGGCAATGGTGTGCAGACCTGCTAAGAGTGAGTTCAGGCATTCCCTGATCGGCGCCTTTCTTCAGACCTAATCATATACAATCAATGCATTCATTAATAATGAGATAATAGCCGATAATGTGATTTGTTTGGGGAATCCCCTAATAGTTACCCAAATAGATAATAACCGGAATATATGTGTAATTGAAGGTAAGTCTCACTAATGAGAGCACTGATGACAGACGGCCTTTGGTCTCGGCGTTCATCTCAACCACTAATTCACTCTTCAATTCAATTACAAAATGAGTTTCCAATCAAATCCCAAATTAAGCTCAACTCTAGACTTGTTTCCAAACAATTTCAACACATTTTCCACCAAAACCTCATTTTTAATGTCAATGCAATAAAAGCCGTAATTTATGTTCAAAATTGCGATTCATTTCAAATGACACTAACTATTGAAGTGAATTGAATTAAATCAAACAATTTGACGACAATTAAGTGCATTAATGAACAAATGGTAAATAATAAGCACTAAATGCTATTCAAACCAAACTTATGGTATGTTTCGTATGTCAGACAACAATAAGTGGCTCTCATATGGTGTACAACATTCACAGTCAAGTTTATATGAGATACACTACAGTAAACACTATTTAATTAAATGCATCGCAAACTATAACTTAATTAACATTTCAATCGATTAATACAATTAATATATACTCAACACTAAATTAAAACAAGCATTAAATTAATATAATTAAAGGCAACATAAGTAACATGTGATTAATATAATGTACAATTAAATGGTTTAATAGTGTAGTAGTGGTGACGAGTATTGTATGGGACGGGACGGGGAATGTGTGATCGGGGAAAGTGTTGCAACACTAGTGTATTGAGTGATATGGAGACGATTGTCAATATTGACAACAATTACTGAACAGTTAATTGTGTTTTGAATTAATATTCAATAATTTAATGAATGGATTGAATGATAAAATGCAGTGAAAGCATGCGTTAAGAGGTTGTGGCGAAGATGTCATCTCATGTGTTGATCCCAAACGCGATGACAATGACTACAAACGCCAAAATGGATTCAATGAATGGCAATGTTTTGGTCGACAACATCGCCGACAACAAGAGTGGCGTCCGTTGTACAACATTCACAGTCAAGTTTATATGAGATACACTACAGTAAACACTATTTAATTAAATGCATCGCAAACTATAACTTAATTAACATTTCAATCGATTAATACAATTAATATATACTCAACACTGAATTAAAACAAGTATTAAATTAATATAATTAAAGGCAACATAAGTGACACGTGATTAATATAATGTACAGTTAAATGGTTTGTTAGTGTAGTAGTGGTGACGAGTATTGTATGGGACGGGACGGGGAATGTGTGATCGGGGAAAGTGTTGCAACACTAGTGTATTGAGTGATATGGAGACGAGTGTTGACAACAATTACTGAACAGTTAATTGTGTTTTGAATTAATATTCAATTATTCAATGAATGGATTGAATGATAAAATGCAGTGAAAGCATGCGTTAGTCGATTGTGGCGAAGATGTCATCTCATGTGTTGATCCCAAACGCGATGACAATGACTACAAACGCCAAAATGGATTCAATGAATGGCAATGTTTTGGTCGACAACATCGCCGACAACAAGAGTGGCGTCCGATGCGAGACAAGCGAAGACAATGTGACGGTTCTGATGGAAAGACTGCACTCAAAGGCCTCGCAGATGAAGTCGTGGACAGAGTTGACCAAAATTATGAAACAATCGGTGAATGAGAAGAGAAATACCATTGATGTGAACGAAAGGAGTCAACTCCAGAAGTGTTTGGACACAATCCAAAAGAGTATTCGTATCACGTCTTTGCAGTCAATGGTCGAGCGATTGGAGACAATCTGTCGACAATTGGGTCTTAAGTTCAGTCTTCCTCGTCAGACGAGTCCCGCGCGGGTCGAGTGCTTTGTCCACTCAGAGATGTATTACGTGGAAGTGCTGTTGGAGGCGCCCACCGGTCATGTGCTGGACTGCAAAGTGGCCCATCAGGCAGAAGCNGTCTTCCTCGTCAGACGAGTCCCGCGCGGGTCGAGTGCTTTGTCCACTCAGAGATGTATTACGTGGAAGTGCTGTTGGAGGCGCCCACCGGTCATGTGCTGGACTGCAAAGTGGCCCATCAGGCAGAAGCACTCGTATGTCTCATCCCTTTCCCATTAAACAAAGCTTTTTAATGATTGAATTGATAATAGAGTTGTCCCGAACTGACGGAAGTCTTACAAAAAGGCGATTTCGTTGAATTCACCAAACATTTAGAGGGATTGTCGGCTATATATCAGATCAACGCCGATAAGTATGCCATCAAATGTTTCATACATTCATATCTTTATTATAAACCATTGATTTGTGTACACAAAGGAAAAACAAGACAAAAGCTTATCTGGCATTACATGCCCTCGAAATAGATCTCTCGAGTTTAGCAGAACTCCAGAAGTGAGTCAACCATTAATTATCTTTGAATTTGATAATTAAATTAAATAATTGTAAATCTAGTCATCAAATCAATGACATAAACAATTTGGTCCATAAATCTCCGGTTGGAATATTAGAGCCACGAAAAGGCGGTCATCCCATGAGACTGACATACTTTGTGCCGCCCTATGATCTCATAGACGTGGTCTCTAAATCATGTCTACCACTTAATGTCGAAGGTTTGTGTTAACTGTTTATTGTATAATATTATACAAACTTAACGATTGATAATATTTGCAGTAATATTGGAGAAAAAGTTGGGCACTTCTGCAACCGTTTGTATTGAGAGCTCATCTTCTCATCGCTTACAACACGAGTCTCTCATAAACACTCTGAAAACACCCGAAGGAAAGAATTTGCCCCAATTCTCGGCCTTAACTAATCTAAACAGTACACAACTTCCCGCCTGTTTTGTGCTCCGACTTGTCTGTGGTGAGCAGTGCAGATAACTATATGACTCTTTTTAGTCTCGGCTGTGATCGTAACTTAAGTTAATGCTCAACTAAGTATTCGCGCTTAGCGAATATGTAAACTAACGATTCGTTTACAACCGCTCAAAGAGCGGCACACAGTCGACAAACTCTCCATTTCACGTGAAACTCCCGAATCAAAGCCATTGCTATCACTTGAATGATAGCTGCGATAAATTGGACGGCGTTGTCATCACATCCATCCCAATCACACACCCGACACATGTGCCCAGAATTCTGGTTCACTTACGACAACAGGTGTTATTCAATGTAATAATCGGCAGTTTTATTCGTCAGACTTCTAAACCGGGTATTGATTTGTTTAATATAAAGTCTATTTACAATTATTGTCATATTGTTATTACTGTTAACAGAAGACATAACCAACATATTTGAAGTGACGGCCACTTCGATGTCGAATATCAACATACAGTTCGAACACCCGACCGAAGAGTCGTTGGCCACTGTAGACCTCGATCTCAGAGATGTAACTAATGTTAAGTGCAAACTCTATCCCTCGAGTCTATCATCCTTTTGTTCTGACGATTACTCTTCAAAAGTGATGCAGAGGTAAGACAATTGACACCCAGTTATACAATTAACACAACAATCAATATATTTGTAATTGATTTCAAGGTGTCTATCAATTCCGGTGACAATGCGATCGATTATCAATAAATGTAAGGAAAGAGCGGCAGCTCTTAAGGAACAGATGGGAAGAGAGCAGTCGAAACAAATGCAACCGAATGCCAACGATCTATAGAAAAGCAGTGATTTGCCTTGGTTGCCGAGTTAACTAGTTTTATACCCGCCTTCTGTTGTCAGAGACAGTATAGATAGCGTTGTTAATGTTGTTATATTGCCTTTGGTTAGTGTTGAAGTTGTCGTTATGAATCATCAATTTATTGGTCAAAACAACACACTTCAGGGACAGCAGCAGAATTTGCAGCGTTTTTTAGCTCAAAAAATGCAGCACCAGTTGAATCAGGAGGGTATGCAACAGAATAGACCGCAACTCACTCTACAACAGTTCCATCAACAGCAGCAACAACTCCTTCAACAAAATCAGAGCCAAATGTTAGGCCAGAGTCCGGGCGCGCAGAAGCACAACGCTATGCTTATGAGTATGTTAAGTGACTTACCGGCGGCCAACTCCCAAATGGCTCTCAATCTACTCAAACAACAACAACAACAGCAACAACTGCAGCAACAGTTCCAACTCCAACAACAACTGCAATACATGCAACAACAACAGCAGTCGCAGCAAAAGCCCAAAAAACAGCTCTTTTCGTCACTAAACGGAACCAACGGCTCAATTGATCAAAATATGGGCGGAAGACAACAGTCTCTGTCATATCTATCGCAACAATTACAACAATATAACGGAAACCAATCACAACTTCAACAGCAAGTGAACCATCAATTTATTGGTCAAAACAACACACTTCAGGGACAGCAGCAGAATTTGCAGCGTTTTTTAGCTCAAAAAATGCAGCACCAGTTGAGTCAAGAGGGTATGCAACAGAATAGACCGCAACTCACTCTACAACAGTTCCATCAACAGCAGCAACAACTCCTTCAACAAAATCAGAGCCAAATGCTAGGCCAGAGTCCGGGCGCGCAGAAGCACAACGCTATGCTTATGAGTATGTTAAGTGACTTACCGGCGGCCAACTCACAAATGGCTCTCAATCTACTCAAACAACAACAACAACAGCAACAACTGCAGCAACAGTTCCAACTCCAACAACAACTGCAATACATGCAACAACAACAGCAGTCGCAGCAAAAGCCCAAAAAACAGCGCAAACGAAAGGCAACTAATGATAATTTAATCCGAAGTCCCGGCAGTTCTACCGGCAAAAGTCCGAAACGTAAACTAAGCGACGATGACTTCAGTCGTGACTTACCCGACGACGGTATGGGAGCGGTGGACCCGTTTCAATGGGGCAACGAATCTAATGCCTGTCGACCCTCTTCCACACCTTCTTCCACATCCGCTTTCTCCGAAACGATTGGAAACATAAAACAAGAGTTGAACATCTCGTCCAGTGGGACGACACCCAACACCGGCGGCGATACTGTCAATGCGTATCCTTTTTTAGGCCAAAGACATCCTTTTGGTAGCACTCAAAACGAATTCAACAATGAATTCAGTTCTAATGACTTACCTCTCTATGGAGAGAGCGGTGCAGAAGTCATGAACGATATCAAGCCGTCGATCGCATTGGGTATGAATCAGGCAATGATGTCTGCAAAGAGTGTTACTAAAAGGACAGTCAAACGACTGAAAAGTGATGCCAGCGATGACGCCAGCGGTACGGGAGATGAGGGACACAACGAACAGTTGAAGATTATTAAATCACTCGAAGATTTGCACCAAAAAGATAACTTTTCCAAATTTGTCACCAATCAGTCCCTAATTGGCGGTCTCGACAACAATATGAGGAAAAGTAATTTGAATGCCATTAAGATGTCAAAGCCATCGGTGAAGAGCGACGCCCGTCGCTGTTCCAGCGCTGGCATCGAAAGCGGCGCCGACACGAAAAAGTCGCCCAATTTATCCAATTTAGAAGAGTTGGGAGACCTGTCGGCGGCCATCAAAAAAGAGCGCAAAAGAAAACGCGCCGAAAGTGTGGACAGTCTGAAAGGGTCGGCAGTCTGTGCTCCCACCACAACCACTACCAGACCTGTGATCACCGGTTCAAACGTTGCGTCCGAGTCGTCAATGATGCCGCCGCCTATGATTGGCTCTCTGGGAGACGTCACCTCTTCATCAATGGCAGCATTTCTTGAGGCGAACTCAACACAAAAAATGGTTCCCAATGTGAACATCAAAATGACGCCCTCGTCTTCAAGTGTGAGCCCTACCGTTCAGTCGCCAACAGTTATGAAAATTTCAAACTCTGGTAAAAAGTCGTTAATTGGCACAAACGTGACCTCAACGAGTGGTAACGATTCAAAAGTGACCAAAGGTTTGGCCAATAAGATGGATAAGAATGCGTCGGTTTCTTCACTCCTTAAGAGCCAAAAACAAGGATTTGCTGTGGCGCCGACACGAAAAAGTCGCCCAATTTATCCAATTTAGAAGAGTTGGGAGACCTGTCGGCGGCCATCAAAAAAGAGCGCAAAAGAAAACGCGCCGAAAGTGTGGACAGTCTGAAAGGGTCGGCAGCCTGTGCTCCCACCACAACCACCACCAGACCTGTGATCACCGGTTCAAACGTTGCGTCCGAGTCGTCAATGATGCCGCCGCCTATGATTGGCTCTCTGGGAGACGTCACCTCCTCATCAATGGCAGCATTTCTTGAGGCGAACTCAACACAAAAAATGGTTCCCAATGTGAACATCAAAATGACGCCCTCGTCTTCAAGTGTGAGCCCAACCGTTCAGTCGCCAACAGTTATGAAAATTTCAAGCTCTGGTAAAAAGTCCTTAATTGGCACAAACGTGACCTCAACGAGTGGTAACGATTCAAAAGTGACCAAAGGTTTGGCCAATAAGATGGATAAGAATGCGTCGGTTTCTTCACTCCTTAAGAGCCAAAAACAAGGATTTGCTGTTTCGACAAAAGGACCCGACGGAGAGACCATCGGGGCTATCGGTCCCTCGCAATCACCAAAAGGACTAACATTTAAAGCGTCGAAATCGAAATCTTCGTCAAAGAGTGGTCTCAGCGCTTCTCCCGGAAGAATAAAAGATCACAACAAATCTCAATTGTTAGGCGGAACTGGACTTAAATTGAAATCTGGCATTTCATCCACTTCTTCGCTGTCCTCTAAATCTGGTTCAATGGCTGTTTCTTCGTCGTCTTCGCTCGCATCCGGTGTGCCATCGAGTGCTAACTCTTCATCCATTGCCTCATCGGTCACGTCATCCAAACAACAAACCGCTAAATTAGCGAAGATATCGCGCAAAAGCTCTTTGACAGCAGTTGTGGACCGTTTGCATCAAAAACAGGACGGAGTGACGGTTGCGATACCCGGACAAAGTGCTGCACCCAATGAAGGCGCCGGTCGTCCCGAAAGCAGTTCCCTTTCGACCAATAGACCCGACACGACATCATCGCCCAAATTGAGTCAAAGCGGTGGCACTAAAATGTCTGAAACCAAGAATAAATACCCCCGAAATACTTCGGATCAGTTCACTATAAAACAGAGCAATTCTGGCGGTGGACTCAAAATGAGTATAACAAAGACAAAGCTGTCGGGCATCGATAGCTCGAGCAAAATAGGACCGGGAGGTACGGGACTGTTCAAGAGTACGGCCACTTCCAAATTCACAATTCCAAAGCTGCCAAAAGCTAATTCATCGTCTCCTTCCCGACCCGCGGCCACGTCTTCCAGCCCTTTGACCGCAACCACGTCTACCACGAGTGCGAGTCCTGTGGTTTCACCCAACGCTTCCATTAGAAGACAAGTTAATGCCAACACAAAAGTGACGACAGGAAACATTAGAGCAAACGTTTCCAGTTCTACACATCCGACCGGACTCTCACTGTCGCCAAAAGGGGGTTCTCTTGCTTTTGCCGCTCATCCGAAACCTTTTGCTGATAGAATGGGCGCAAAACCTACGGCTCCTAACACTCAGGCCAATAAAAACCCCGCCATTAATAAGAGTTTAATTGACAAATTTAAAGCAACGGCTGACTCGAGCTCTACCAAACCGGGTGTTGCGGACGGTATGGTTACAAACACCACATCCGGTGGTTTCCAGAGTACAACTAAGACGGCGGCCGAATCGTCCAGACCTCCAGTTTATTCCAAGTTTGACGGCATCTCTACTCCAATGCCTGTTTCTTACGGTCGAAGTATAAGCGCATCTGTGGGTAGTGTTAGCCCTCAATTGCCTGCGTCCACCACTTCTGCTCTCCAACCAAATAAACCCAATTTTATGAAATCACTTTCGGTTAATGAAAGCGAATGTAATGACCGATTGCTCGCCAATTGGTCGCAAATACAGGAAAATGCAACCATTGAGTCGAGGAGTGATGTGTTGGCTAAAAGTCAGATCACATCTTCTGATATTAGCGATCATACGATTAATTCTCAAAGTCTGACAGAAAAGCCTGGAGTTAGCAGTAGTAGTGATGTTAAGGCATCGACCAGTACTCCCAGTTCACCGGCAGAGATGGCTTTAATAGCGGATGCCTTTCAAAACCCTCCGCCACTAATACCTACGGAAGCCATCGATGATTCGAGCGAAGGAGGAAACGGTAGCAGCGCTGGTGTGAACGCGACCGCCGGGTCTGGAAATTCATCCCAAATTGCCATCGATTCAAGCGAATCGGTTCAGGAGTGTCTCCCTTCAGCTCCCGTTCCTTTGCCTTCGACCGAAATGGGTTCAAGTGTTGCGCCCAACGAGACCTCCAATGAAGTGTCCACTTCTGATAACTTAAAGATCGATGCAATACAAGCCGCGGACACTGTTAGGCCAGATGTGTCTCAATCGAGACCAGAAATCCCAGAGGTTTCTGAAAGTAATAAACCGGTTGTTGTCGACGACGACGACGAAGAAGACGGCGACGGTTTGATTATAGACGACGACCCGGTAGTTGAGTCCAAACCAATTCGCGCACCCGTTGTGGCCAATAGTGAAATGGTTTCGTCGTCCACTTCACGGATTAGTGACTCTCAAAGTCCAACCAAACCGTCGACATCTCCCATATCGAGCAGTAATACTCCGTCCATCGCCTCTAATCCAGCGCTCGCTTTGACAGCATCGATGAGCTCTTCATTTGGATCTATAAACTCGCCATCAAATCACTCGACAAACAGTTCCGTTCAGAGGCCGTCTCCATATCCGATGGCAGACATTGACGACGAGCTCATGGATGAAGCGCTCGTCGGTTCCAACGAGTAATTCTCAAATGAATGTATTTTTCGGATTTTTGTTTATTAAATGTAAAAAAAGATGCAATCATTTCAATGATTTACTCATTTTTCAAATTATTAATTAATACCAATGTTTAATATATGAATATATGCGCCCTTTTATACCATAACTTATCACTATATTCTACTACACCTATAGTTTGCATACATTATTGTATGAATCGCGCCGTATATGTAATATATTATTATTTTTAAATTTAATTAGCGCATAGAATATATTTATTTCATGAATTAAATTTTTGGCAAAATATTTATAAATAGGTAATTGTATGTAACATTGAGTTCAATTCAAATTACAATATAATTAATGATTTACAATAAATTAAAATAAATACTTGATTACTGCCTTATAATGTTTGTGATTGAATGCCACATTAATGATACAGTTTGGGATGTCTCCATTTACAGGTACTGTATTAAATTTATACGAAATTTTATCAATCTTAAATAATAAGTCTAAAACTCTAAAGCCTATTAATTAAAATATTAATTATAAAATGTACAATACGCTAACGTCTATACAATTTAAATTTTTGTTGTCGACATATATTGTCATAGTTTAAACTACTTGTAATTTCATTATAAAATTTGTCAGAATTATTACTTTTGTAAAATGTATCATTTATTTAACAGTATAAAATCAACGCAAACGAGTAATTTGAGCAATTGGTTAGAAAAATATTTTTATTGCACTGTATAAAACTAACCATGCATGTATGGATTATGGCATGGCATTCAATTGAATTGCCAGGAAAGAGAGAGAGAGAGAGAGAGAGAGAGAGAGAGAGNAGTGTTGAGTATATATTAATTGTATTAATCGATTGAAATGTTAATTAAGTTATAGTTTGCGATGCATTTAATTAAATAGTGTTTACTGTAGTGTATCTCATATAAACTTGACTGTGAATGTTGTACACCATATGAGAGAGAGAGAAGAGGAGGAGAGTGAAAAGTTTGATGGTTTGTGGGTTTGGGACAGACTTTTAAAAGTAGTGTCCAATAGAGAGGCGAATAAACGTTAAGACCTTTTAGAACCGTTGCATTAAATTTAAAATACTTTGAAAACAAGTTTGCGTTCAAAAGCATTCGTTCAACAGTTTCTCCTTTTATAAGCCATTCATTTAATTCATCGATTATTAAAGCAATTGATTATAATTTTGATAAAAAGTTTATTTTAAATCTAATTAAATAATGGATAAAACAAAGAGTAAGTCAAGTGTTCGTTCGCTTAAGAAGAAAGTGAACCATAAATCACAAGAGAAGACAAAACAGAAATCTAATGCCAATAAAGACAAGAAGATTGAGAAAAATAAGAAACAGATGTACACGACATCCAGTTCTCAAACGGTTCTCAAAGACATGAAGAATTCTGCCATCAGTTCTATCAATAGTTTTCGTAACACTTTTGATATATTATCAAATGTAATGTATATCGAGTTTAATATCTCTTTTCCACTTTCTATTCATTCATTCAATCATTTATTTTAAAAATTCATAGAAATTTAAAGTATCGTCGAATACAAGTGGAAATCAATTAAATGGTGGTAAAAGTTATCACAAGTTCAATGGCTTCGAAACTCCAACACAGCTTTATTCTCCTTTCGGTATCGAAACGCCGAGTCCTCGAGTCGACCGCAAATCCGCAAAACGGTATGTATTATCACAACTAATGTCTAGCAAAGTGTGATCACTGATCAGTGTTCGTCTCATTGCTATGAGTTTGATAACAATTATTACAATATAAAAGTATTGTAATATTGTTTCAATACTTTGCACAAAAAGGTTTTGCAGAGCAAAGCGATCAATTCAAATTCGGGAGGTGCATTTATAAAGACAAGAAGATTGAGAAAAATAAGAAACAGATGTACACGACATCCAGTTCTCAAACGGTTCTCAAAGACATGAAGAATTCTGCCATCAGTTCTATCAATAGTTTTCGTAACACTTTTGATATTTTAACAAATGTATATCGAGTTTAATATCTCTTTTCCACTTTTTATTCATTCAATCATTTATTTTAAAATTCATAGAAATTTAAAGTATCGTCGAATACAAGTGGAAATCAATTAAATGGTGGTAAAAGTTATCACAAGTTCAATGGCTTCGAAACTCCAACACAGCTTTATTCCCCTTTCGGTATCGAATCGCCGAGTCCTCGAGTCGACCGCAAACCCGCAAAACGGTATGTATTATCACAACTAATGTCTAGCAAAGTGTGATCACTGATCAGCGTTCGTCTCATTGCTATGAGTTTGATAACAATTATTACAATATAAAAGTATTGTAATATTGTTTCAATACTTTGCACAAAAAGGTTTTGCAGAGCAAAGCGATCAATTCAAATTCGGGAGGTGCATTTCCAACATTTGCTTAGCAATCAAATGTATAAGCGATTCGCGCTTATGAATCAACTCGTAATTGAATTCAATGCTAGTGTCGGCTCTGATTTTTCTCAGTATATCAATAGACGTGACGAGTGGTGTCTGGAGTCGGAGCACAAAACAGGCGGGAAGTTGTGTACTGTTTAGATTAGTTAAGGCCGAGAATTGGGGCAAATTCTTTCCTTCGGGTGTTTTCAAAGTATTTATGAGAGACTCGTGTTGTAAGCGATGAGAAGATGAGCTCTCAATACAAACGGTTGCAGAAGTGCCCAATTTTTTCTCCAATATTACTGCAAATATTATCAATCGTTAAGTTTGTATAATATTATACAACAAAGAGTTGACACAAACCTTCGACATTAAGTGGTAGACATGATTTAGAGGCCACGTCTATGAGATCATAGGGCGGCACAAAGTATGTCAGTCTCATGGGATGACCGCCTTTTCGTGGCTCTAATATTCCGACCGGAGATTTATGGACCAAATTGTTTATGTCATTGATTTGATGACTAGATTTGCAATCATTTAAATTAATTATCAAATTCAAAGATAATTAATGGTTGACTCACTTCTGGAGTTCTGCTAAACTCGAGAGATCTATTTCGAGGGCATGTAATGCCAGATAAGCCTTTGTCTTGTTTTTCCTTTGTGTACACAAATCAATGGTTTATAATAAAGATATGAATGTATGAAACATTTGATGGCATACTTATCGGCGTTGATCTGATATATGGCCGACAATCCCTCTAAATGTTTGGTGAATTCAACGAAATCGCCTTTTTGTAGGACTTCCGTCAGTTCGGGACAACTCTATTATCAAATCGATTCAATCGTTAAAAAGCTTTGTTTAATGGGAAAGGGATGAGACATACGAGCGCTTCTGCCTGATGGGCCACTTTGCAGTCCAGCACATGACCGGTGGGCGCCTCCAACAGCACTTCCACGTAATACATCTCTGAGTGGACAAAGCACTCGACCCGCGCGGGACTCGTCTGACGAGGAA